CTCTCTCTCACACACACACACACACACACACACACACACACACCAGGAATAGGTTGCTGTTTTCCTCCCCTGGTACGTACCGGGCTCAACCACTCCGCTTCCTGCCGGGCACTTGGAGTGCTTGATGCAAAAGAGCGACTCGGCGTGGTAGCCCGGCTTGCATTCGCACACCCTGTTGTGCGTCCCGTTGCACGATCCCACCTCCACCTCCAGGATGTTACAACGGACGTTGCAGTACAGGCACCTGTCCACGTAGTTCCAATACTGGGTGTAGTGCTCGTTGGCACACGGCTTGCACAGGGTGCCCGCGTCACGGGTGCAAGGCTTGGCCATGCTCTTCCCCGGGGGGCACTTCTCGCACAACAGCTTCTCGTGGGTGTTGGGGTCTTTCCACTCGAAGGTGGGCGGGGAAGCATGGGTCAGAGGACTCCAGAGCAAGACGCTCAAAATCACCCACTAGTGGCCGGTGGGGGAGAGAAAGGAAGGCAGGTTAGCAGAGTGTCAGGATTCCGGCATTTACCCCCATTGAAATCACGAGTCTCGAGCCAAACTTCTAAAACTTCAAAAGGATTTATTGGGAGTAAACATGCAGGCACTGCCTGGGTGGAGCCGACTCTGAGACGCACAATTCATTGTCACCCTTGACCCTGGTTTTCCCCACGCCCCACCCCCTGGCTGTATCATAATTCCTATTCTCCAATGGGACACCTCCATAGCCAAGAGTCATCAATCAGGCTCTCCTGGTAGAATTTTGCGGGGCAGAAACTTCGGTCACCTAGTTACTATCTTTGAAAACATTTATGAAATGCAGTTTCGGTTTGCAAACTGCTGCACTGCTCCCCCGTCCCTTTCTGCTGGCAACTCTAAAAAAACCATAGAAATATTTTACGAGTTGACACACAGATTCCTAGACACAGCTGGTCCTCGACTTACATCCACCACTGAGCCCAAAATTCCCATGGCTAAGCAAGATCGCTATTAAGTGAGTTTTGCCCTGTTTTACGATCGTTCTTGCCACCGTTGTACTGTGAATCGCTGCAGTTGTTCAATGAGCAACGTGGTTGTTAGCAGAATCTGGCTTTCCCGTGGACTACGCTCAACAGGTCACAAAAGGGGAATTAATTACGTGACCCTGGGACACTGCCACCGTCATAAATGCAAGTCAGTTAACATTACCCTAAACACCTGATCATTCACTCAACATTGGAAATAATATTTTTTTAAAAAATTTACATTTATTACCTGGCACAGATTTTGCATTTTCTTGAAAGGGTCGTCAAATCGATTCACTTTCCCAGAAATTCAAGAGGGTCTGTAGCTGTGCAGACTCTTCGCACAATGGAAATTTCTTTTTCTTACAATTCTAAGGCAGGGAAGCAAGAAAGAGAAAACGCCACAATTACTACAGGACCTTTTTTTTCTCTCAAAGCAGGAAAAGATTTGCAAGCAGGTTTCCTGCGCACATCAAAAAGATTCAAATGGTGCTTTACGGGCTAAACGTCCCGTAGAGAACATTTGTCACAACCCACATATGTTAAAATGCCTCGTCATCTTATCGCAGACAATTGTGGTTACAACTAAATTCAGTTTCCTTTTTGGGGATTTTATAATAAAGAAACAGAGATTCATCCACTTTTAAGGAAGAGATTGGACTGCCATTTGTCAGAAATGGTGTAAGGTCTCCTGCTTGGGCGGCGGGGGTGGGGTTGGACTAGATGACCTACATGGTCCCTGCCAACTCTGATTATCTGTTATTTTCACCCCTCCTCCTGGTTCACATATGTACAGGTAGTCTTCGACTTACAACCACAGATAACAGATAATAAGAGTTGGAAGGGACCTTGTAGGTCATCTAGTCCAACCCCCCGCCCAAGCAGGAGATTCTACACCATTTCTGACAAATGGCAGTCCAGTCTCTTCTTGAAAGTCTCAACTGATGAAGCTCCTACAACTTCTGAGGGCAACTTCTGTTCCATGGGTTGATTGTTCTCACTGTCAGAAAGTTTCTCCTTATTTCCAGGTTGAATCTCTCCTTGGTCAGTTTCCATCCATTATTCCTTGTCTGGCCTTCGGGTGCTTTAGTAAATAGCGTGATACACAAGATATAATAGGATAGACAGAAAGATCAAAGATGTATAATAATAAGTGTAATATATGTATTAAATATAGGTACGAATAGATGTTAAAAGAATAAGACAATATGAAAGGTGTATAATAATAACTATAATATATGTATCAATGATTAACGATAAACAAAGATAATATAGATTAAAATAGGTACGAATAGGGGTTAAAGTATAAGACAATATTATATGTGGATGTCAATGTTGTTGAAAAAGTATTAAGATTTGTACTGGTGGAAAATAATAAAAATTATTTTAAAAAAGAAAGAAAATAATTTGACTCCCTCCTCTCTGTGGCAGCCCCTCAAATATTGGAAGATGCTATCCCGTCTCCCCTGGTCCTTCTCTTTCCTAGACTAGCCAGACCCAGTTCTTGCAACCGTTCATTGTATGTTTTAGCCTCCAGTCCCCTCATCATCCTGGTTGCTCTTCTCTGCCCTCTTTCTAGAGTCTCAACATCTTTTTTATGGTGTGGGGACCAAAACTGGATGCAGGACTCTAGGTGTGGCCTTACTAAGGCTTTATAGAGGGGTATTAGTACCTCACTTGATCTCGATTGCATCCCTCTGTTAATGCAACTTAGGATTGTGTTGGCTTTTTTGGCTGCTGCCACAATGGAGTCCACATTTTCTGTTGCTGAGCGAGACAATTGTTACGTGAGTTTTCTCCCAGTTTACAACCTTTCCTGCCACCGTTGTTAAGTGAATCACTTCAGTTGTTCAGTGAGTACATGAATCCCACCCCGTTTACTTTCCTTGTCAGAGGGTTGCAAAAGGGGATCATGTGACCCGGGCCAACGCAACCGCCATAAATGTGAGTCAGTTGCCATTTGAATTTTGATCGCATTCCTATGAGGGTGTTGCAACGGTCATAAGTGTGAAAAAGGTCCAAAATCACCTTTCACGAGCGGTTGTAAGTCAAGGACTAGCTGTACATCTAAATTGAGAGGGTTGGCTTTATTACATCCATCCATCCAATAAATAAAAGATGCTTCGGGTGCAAATCCCACAATATCTGGAGCGTCACCTGAATTCTATCAGCATTGACCCAAAAAATCCCCATTGGTCAATTGCCAAAATGGCAGCTTGACCCGAAGCCGCTGAAATCAATAAAAACGCTAAAAGAACGAGAGGCGATTAATCCAGAATTTAAGGGGAAGAGGAGCAGAACAGAATGACGGAGTTGGAAGGGACCTGTTAGGTCAACTAGTCCACCCCCCTCCCGCCACCCGAGCAGGAGACCCTACATCATTGTTGACTGACTGGCAGTCCAGGAGGCCAAACAGCCATGCTGGCAAGGGAGCAATTTCTGAACTGATTATAGCAATAGCACTTAGACTTATATATCGCTTCACAGTCCCCTCTAAGCGGTTTACAGAGCTCAGCCTCTTGCCCCCAACAATCTGGCTCCTCATTTTAATGACCTCAGAAGGATGGAAGGTTGAGCTGGTCAAGATCAAATTCCTGGCAGTTAGCCTGCAGTACTGCATTCTGATAGATGATAGACAGACAGAAAGACAGACAGACAGACAGACACAGAGAGATAAATAAATAAAGATATAAGACATAGACAGCAATAGCCCTTAGACTTATAATCCTGCTTCTTGGTGCTTTACAGCCCTCTCTAAGCAGTTTAGAGTCGGGCTATGGCCCCCAATAATCTGAGTCCTCATTTTACCGACCTCGGAAGGATGGAAGGCTGAGTCAACCTTGAGCAAAAGGGGATCATGTGACCCCCACAGGATACTGCAATGGGTCCTAAATACGAGGCAGTTGATCACGTGGCCACGGGGAGGCTGCAATGCTCGTAAGTCTGAAACACGGTCACAGGTCGCTATTTTCAGCGCCGTTATGATTTCGGAAGGTCCCTAAACAAATGGCTGTAAGTGGAGGAGCACCTGGGGTTCAGAGGCCAAAGGTTTTACGAGCTGCAGCCACAAAATGGCTTGGCTGATGCAGGATTTAAATAAGGTGGAACAGAGCACAAAAGAGAAGAGGCCGTACTTTCCACGGGTGACCACATTGGAAATTTACAGGACCATTGAGCGAGAAATGGTCGAATTTGCATGCACCATTTAGGCTGTTTCGGAAAGACTCAACAAGAACGGCCTGTTCTGGACATATTAAATGGCTAATAAAATTACACAGTCTTGCATCAGCAAAACCACTCAATATCTCTTCCCCCTTACATCGGATGAGCTACTCTGATGAAATGCATCTGATGAAATGAGTAGAGTAGAGTGGAATGGAATGGAATAGGAACAAAGAGTAGAGTAGAGTAGAGTAGAGTAGAGTAGAGTAGAGTAGAGTAG